GAAAAATCTCCCCGGTCCCCTGGGAGCCCCAGGCCTCATTACATAGTCAGGTCTTGAGGGACTTGCGGAACATTAAGAGGGATGGAGCTAGTCTCACTTCTGGGGGGAGAAGATTCCACAAGGCAGGTGCCACAGCAGAGAAGGCCCACCCCTTGGTGGGACTTGCCAAATTCAGTTCCCTGGCAGACGGGACCCACAGCATGTCTTCTGTGCTGGACCTGATGGGACAGGCAGATGTAATTGGGGAGAGGCGGTCCCTCAGGTAACCCGCCTCCATGCCATGAAGGGCTTTAAAGGTCAAAACCAGAACTTGGAATTTGGACCTGGAAGCAAACTGGCAACCAGTACAGCTTGCGGAGCAGAGGTGTAACATGTACTGCCCTAGGGGCACACATAACTGCCTGCGCTGCTGCATTGTGCACCAGCTGAAGCTCCTGGATACTCTTCAAGGGCAACCCCATGTAGAGCGCATTACAGAAATCCAAACGGGAGGTGACCAGGGCATGAGTGATATTGATTAGGTCCCTCCGATCTAGGAATGGGCACAACTGGCACACAACACAAAGCTGTGCAAAGGCCCTCCTAGCCATGACTGCCACTTGCTCTTTGAGCAGGAGTCATGAGCCCAGGAGGACCCCCAGATTGCGCACAGGGTCTGTCTGGGGCAGTGCAACTCCATTCAGTACCAAAGATGGCATAGCTCTAGCACCAGAAGGCCCCAAAACCCAAACCACTCAGTCTTGCCAGGCTTCATTGGAAGCCTGTTGTTCCCCATCCAGACCCTCACAGCCTCCGGGAACCGGGATAAGACATTCACAGCATTATGATGTCTGGAGGCCACCCTTGGCATTTTACTGGTGGATGAGAGCTATAATGGGGAAGAAGATGATGCCAAGTGGACGGACCCAGGATTTTCCAGTTTTTAAAGTTTCCTTTTACAAATCACACTCGGCCTATTTTCGGGTGCCCACTGTATTTTTGGGTATTTCCCCATGGAACGGTAGAAGATCATTTTGGTCAGAGGTAGCTCCAGGCATTACAGAGAAGGGAATCAGAAGACACATGTGGGGTTGCCCACCTCTGGAGCAGACATGAGAGGACAATGGCATTTTTAGAGGGAACACTATCATTGTATGCCATTTTTAAAATAAAACGACAATTGTTCCTGTTCGCCCCATCATGTTTTAAATGGGGAAGTCACTGCCATGTTACAAATTAATAGCAAATTTCCTCCCTTCCACTAAATAAATAAATAAAACAAAACTGAAGCAGAGCACAGTGACTAATTTGATCCTGGCTTTGGGGCAGTTAGTTTAGCCTTACTGCTAATTTCTTTGGTGATAGACAACTGATTAACCACTCTTTTACATTAATAACATAACACTGAAATGAAAAAAAATCTGAGGACGATACAGCTCATTATTTAGAAAAACACTGCTTGTAATTTTTTAAAAAATCTGTCAAAAAAGCATAAGGACTCTGATTAAATTAGCGTAATTTATTATTATTATTTTGCTGAACTTGACAAAGAGAGATTCCCAGAGATTGATAACACAACACAATCTTATGCACCATTTCACAGCTAGTCCCTTGTTGGTTTTATTAAGAACATAGTAATTTAAAAAATAGCTAAATATGTACATATTAATAAAACATATATACATAAGATTGAGACTTTTACCTAAATATGGAATGATTTTCCTAATAAAACCTATAAAAAGACTTCTGGATAAAAGTTTTAACAGTAGTCACAGTTAAGTCAACACAAATACAATTGTTTTTAAGATTCATAAGACTGCTGATTGTTGGTTAATTGTTACAATACGTATGCCTCATTTGTAGATTTATGGAAAAGACCAAGAATTTTCATTCATAGAGGGGCAGTTCCATCAGCCTCAAAGAAGGAAATGGTCTTCTTAAAGACTACAGCACTAGCCAAGTTTATCATGTCATCAAGAAAAGACAGCCACATTTCAGTAATAAATTGGTTGTACTGTATTAAGTTTAAAAATTTATAAAAACATTATTGAACTGCAGAAATGATTACTTTCAGTCCAAGATTAGCAAGCTGAAAAGAGGATTCCTAAGCACACCAATAGATTCTGCTAGAGATGTCTATGATGAATATCAATGAATTTCTCATGTATGTAGCATTAACCCTTCATCTGAAGTATGACCAAACAGCTTCTCATATAGAACATAGGACAGATACTGGGATCTTCAAAGGTAACAGAAATACAAATATATTCAGGTGGAGTTTGTGAGACTTTGGAGTGTAATCATCTTAAAGATTAGTGGATGCATTCTCATGCCAGCTTTTGTTTGAAAACAGACATATAACATAGACCCAAAATATTGTATCAGCTCTTAAGGAATAGAATAAGGAGGTGTATGCAGATGGAAAGAATCTCCCCAAATTTGGTTTCTTCCATAAATATTCTGACTGCAGCTCTCAGAATTCCCAATCCCCACAGTCTAGCAGAAAAGGGGGAATGGAAAATAATATGGCTAGGTGCACACATGTTGACAGAGTTGAGGATTCTTAGTTCAATGAAGACAGAATACATTAATTTTTACTCCTGTACATTTTCAGGTAACTTGCACACTATACAGAGAGTATGCAAAGACTCAATCTGTGCAAGTCTTCCCCCTCAAAGATGGCTGAAATCAGGCCTACATGAAGAAATGTCTATAGACGGCCAATAAGCTTGTACAACATCTCATATGAGCAGCAGTAATTACTCCTGCCCAACCATTCTTGTAGACTAAGTATATAAACCAACTAAGATCAGAGCAAAGGGATGAGAAATCCTGCCTTTACTGAGAAGCTGAACAAAAATTCAAGGACAAAGGGAGACTAAGATACATGTCTACACGCATGTCCTCCTTTGATAAGGAAGGGCTGTCCAAGGCGCTCTGGAGGAGTTAGGCAAGGAGGAAGACGTGAACATTTGTGCAAACCAACTAGACAAATGTTATGGGAAGTGCTTCTGAAATGACTGGCAAGGCTTCTGCCCTGGGCAGGGGTTGGACTAGAAAACCTTCGAGGTCCCTCCCAACCCAATGATTCTATGAATGATTCCTGAAATACTCTTTTTTGGAACTACAAGGTGGTATTACAAGACTCAAATACCATGGAAAAGGTACGGGGACTACAAAATATGGAAAACAATTTGTCATATTTAGGAGTATTTGATCTGGATTAAACATGGCAATGCTAGTAGTGTTAATTAGTATCTTATGATCAAATACAATGACAGAGATTCTGCATCTTATTCTGAGGAAAAGTTAATATCTTTACCCAAGTAGAAATTTACAGTTCAAGGGGAAAAAAGGGAAGGCTTAACTCAGAAAAGGGTTAAGACCCATTAAATTTCTTAGAAGTTTTATTTATGGTCCCATGATTTCTGCACAAAAAAGTCTATATGAAATGGAGGTGTTAAGAGCTCTCTTCTAAGATTCAGAGAAGCCTTTATTATTATTTTTTCCCTATTTAAATAGAATAGCCAGCATGCATGTATTTATGTGGGGAAAATGCCATCATAAAAGCAAAATTCATTCTATCACATTGGTTACCAGACTAATTGCACTATAGCCTTGCTACTGAACAAATCTAGTTATTTTGATTAAATTAAAAGGAAAGTAATTTGTTGCTTAATTATTCCACATTAGAAAAGCATGAAAAAAAAATGATCTGAGATCATGAAACAGGAGAACCCGGATAATGAAGTAATCTAGAAATGTTGCTGGCATCATCTCAAACAAACAAAGGTCTGAATATGCTAATGAAACACTGGTGCAGAAGGTGTGGCATCAAAGAGGGTACCTGGAAAAGAATTAAAGTTTAAAATTAGAATTTTAAGGAACTATAATTATGATACATATTCCTGAAAAGCAACCTATGGGCTTATAGTGAACTTCTGCTAATGAAATGCATTCTCTGTAGCATAATTAAAACACTATTATACACTGTATTTGCACAACATTCTTGAACTATTTGTGGATTTGCACAATGCACTGAATAATAAAACTAACCCAAAGGGCTGAATTTGGGCTAAGCTAACTAACTTGTGTATCCACAAAAAAATTAACCAAAGTTAATGCTAACCCAGCTATGCAGTCTGCAAATGAAGGTTTTGGGTCTTTGACATGTAGAGCCAATCTGCATCCATAATTTATTCCTGAATATCCATAATTTATTCCCAGATTTCTAGGAATCACTAAGACAAGGAATTCTTCATTTGAAAGAAATGGCCATCACTGTGACAAAATTACTGGGCGCAATCTGAACCAGCTCTCTGCAAAAGTCCCTGTGATAACATCAGACAAAACTGGTGCTCTCCAACATGCAGAAGAAATGAAACACAACTTCTTTGTTTTATCTTGTCTAGTTAATCACACACATGCTAAACCAGAAGAGGGCAAAACAGAATCCAGAAAGATTTCATAGGAAGGTCTGAGTTAAACTAATATTCATTAAAGGGTATTTATGATGGAATTGCAGTGGATTTGGGAAGGAAACTAAGACATTGTAACCTAACTTTTGTTTTGGGGTTGTATGTACAAGTTTACAGATTAACTGAAAATTATTTGCCCATGTCTTCCCTTGCGTTTATCTGCTAAGAATGGGTTGCTTCTCAGTCATTATAATACTTTAAGTAATTATTGGTGAATTCACACATGCAGTTCTATGCCTGTGCAAAGCCCATCACAGAATGTTCTCAAGAATTGCTCTGTGGAGGCACAACACTTTTATCTAGGATAAACAATTCTTCACTACAGCTTCTATACAGTCATTTTTATTTTTACTATGTGCATCCTATATTTTATGCCATTTACTTTACTTACTGGAAACTTCTATGATGTTTTAAAAAGAAAAATAGTATAAAATGTTATAAATAAAGAAGAAATATGTATCTGTGCTTCAGTTTACTCATTGTGGTCCTGTATAACTTTTCTGCCAGAAAGATGGTAAAGGATTTCAGAATAATTTAAGAAGATAAATCATATGAGCTGGAAGAAGTCATTAAATCTCACATCTATGTTGGTAACAGTAAAGCTGGCAAGAATGTATTGTACACTAAATATATATGTAAGTTGCAGGCAGAAGTTCTTTTGTAATCCATTCTCCAAATAGTTTAGTGAAGTGAGGACTTCTTCCAAAGTAGACATCATGCTCTATTTGAGGCCATGATGGACCTGGATCCACCCTACATGTGGCTGAAGTTCTGCATTGAAAGCACAATATCTAGTATCATAGATAAGACATATACTTCCTTGTTATTTTACCTGGGGTCAGCTAGTTAGGACACATGCTTCTGAAACATTTTCCAGTGTGCTGGTATGGGACTGCTCTAGTTATGCTACCAAATGATAATCAGGCATCTGGCAAGCACATAAAGACTGTTTAGAAGGGTGGGTTGTACTGTCATCAACTTAAAGACTTATGACAAAATAAATATGCAAGACCCTCCAAATCAGATTTAGAACACCCATTATTAGGTGTTCTTTAAAGGTGTTTTTTAAGACTAACACATATTTATTCTTATATAGTCACTGATTTTTGATTGCCTGCTCTCAGATATCATAGATTAATCACAGCACAAGGCACTAAGTGGGATATGTATGCAACCATTAAAACCATCATTTTAATTTGCCACTCTATATCTTTTGGGACTGAAGATTCAACTAGTTTTAACCATATCAATATAGAAGACAGAGACCAAGTAGTATCTTGATAAATGTTGTGTTCATTCTCCAAGCCAGGGTTTCATTATCATATTAGATAACCAAGTTGGGAGAACTCTAAAAACATAATAGGCCAACCCTACATACATTCTCAGCTATTACAAACTAGATACATGTCAGGCAGAAGTCTCTCTCACAAATACAACATAAAAAGCCATCATTGCAGAATGACCTCTAAGCCAGTAGGATCAGTTACTTGGCCAAGGTATAATGAAATCTGAGAGTCAACATGACCTACTTTTGCCAGGAACTTCAACAAGACTGGATTGCCCTTCTGGGAGCCAGAATAGGAACCAAACCAGCATAGATCCTTCCACAGTACTTTCTAATACTACAATTGAAAAGACTTGACCTGAAGCAAGACATCTAAGGAATTTGTGACACATGCCATTGTTTTTATTCCCTGCCACAGAATATAGAAGGAAGTTAGTATCCTAACACAATGGTTTCCTTCTAATCAAATGGAGGATATGTAGTGTGCTTGATCTCAATGTGTGTTGGCATTTTTCTTTAAAAGGTTCTGAGTCACTGAGTTGCAGCATCAAGCTGACTTTGACTGATTTCAAAAGAATAAGCAGGATGGACCTGGTTAAGACTTGGATGGGAGATAATCAGGAAATCCTGGGCTTGTATGCTAGACTTGGAAGTTGAAAACCATACTGGAAAAAGTTAATGGGAATCAATTTATGTATTGTGGCCAAGAAAACTACAAGGATATTAGCCTTATTAGCACAGCTAATGTAGCGAGAGGAGTAGAAATGATATCTCCTAGTCTTTTTTTGGAATTCATATACTGAGCGAGGATAAAGTTATTTGTATCTGATAAAACATTAGTATTACGTAAAGTACACTTTTAATAGTAAATTTAGGCTCCATGTTAGGAAGCAGGATGCATTAAAAAAGGATGGGACTTTGATGGTGCAGTCACAGCTGTCATCTTAACTTCTTTGACCCCATCTCCGCCCCCCGTGGATGCCACTGTTAGGAAGCAAAGCCCCATCACACCAAACCAGACCTACTTTTGAATTATCATGCACTGTATTAGAGCCAAGCTGTTAAGCAGAAATAGGGTACGACAGATAACAGCAATTGTAGATTCTGGCCATGGTAGAGTATCTCTGTGAAAACGGCTGAAAGATGTTAAATAAATAAATAAAAGCAAGGACACCCACACAAATGAAGCGAAAGCTCCTATTAATTCCTGCCAGTTTCACTTTACCTTCTTTCTGTATTATAGCAACTGTTCTCCGTATCGGGCAAATATTATGATACTGTGTACCGAAAAAATTAACTGCTTTAATTCCCTGAACTAAGTCCATCTGGTTCCACATTCTGTTTGCAACAACAGACAGCTCAACGTCTTTTGAAAAGACTGCAAGAACGTGAAAAGTACCAAAATGCTTGCATTTGCCATCTCACAGAGGAACATAAGCTGCTTCTGTACATGTCGCTATCTTAGCTATAAGGCACAGGGACATTTTCAAAAAGTGATTTATCTAGCCAAACTGGAAAGAGTGACTGTGTTCTATATTAAAAAATACAAAGTTCTGCTGCCCAGCAATCAAATTCTGTGCTATGAAATGTTTGTTTCTATAACCTGCATAAATTATGCAAATTATGGTGTTTGGATAGGACATTTTTCCCATTCCATTATAATTACCTCTTACACCATCTTCATTTTGCGGTACTATCTAATGTAGTTCTTACTGTGACTGTGAGGTTCTTTAAAGGCTGTGTATAGTTGCTGACTAAACGTTCAAAAGTATTTAAATAAAAGAATGCAATGGTACGGTAGTAGTAAGCGGAACAGGGCATAAATATCAGAACAGGGCATAGCTGCAGGCAAGGAAAATCAGAGAGAAGATGGGATGGCTTAGCAATCCAAATCTTGTCCTATTTGTTACAGAGGACTTTAATAAAAAGTCACTACTGATTCAAAGCGACAAGGAAGAAAGCTTTCATGTTAAACCACCTCTCCATATCAGTGTTATGCACCAAAATCAGCATCAGTGAACTGTGCATCTCATTACTGCTCCAGAGATACAGGAGAAGCATAGAGCAAGGATGAATAAAGCAACATTGTGCTTATTAGTCTGAACTGCAGTGCTGTAGTAGCCTCTTCCAAACTATTTTCTGATCACTTATGCTTTGGGAAAGAAATGATGCAGACCCTCCACCTATTCCCACAGAAGAGCTGCTACAATCTCCTTGCCCTGGAGATAACCATGGACTCTGGGCAAGTTAAAAAATTTGAAAGCTTATCTGGTGAGAGTTTCTACAGATGACTGAAAATATAGTTCCTGTAAAAGATATTATAAAGGACATTTGGGAAAGTTACCCTTTCTCAATGCAACTAGGAGCAACAATGACCAGTATGCTTTCATTAACTAAATAGAAATCAATCCTGGCACCAGGGATAGATGGAGGACTTGGTTTGGCCACATCTGCTTGGCTGCCTGATGGAATCTGTAACTGAACAGGTAGAGCTGGTCGTGGAGTTGGGGTTGGAGAACTCCAGGCTTATGGAGCTGGGGGATTTCGATATCCCTTTTGATGTGGGCTCATCTGTAGATCATAGCCATGGTGACAAATATGGGCCTATCTCAATTGTTCAAAGGGACAATCAATGTTGCAGATTACAGACTCAATTTGGAGTAATATGCTCTCATCAGGGAGAACATTAAACCATATGTTGTTAGGGTGGTTGACACAACTGCTTCTCAGAGCCCTCTCCAAGGTGCTTCAAAGGCAGCCTAGTGACACACAGATGAGCTGTGGGAGCTGAAGTAGCCAAGCTGATGGTTAGAGTGTAGATGGGAGATGATAGGAAATGCCTTAGTTAACATCTAAGCCCAGGGAAAGCAGAATGCCTCCTTGTTTAAAGGAGGCGAGTATTAGACCTGTTCTTCTTGTCCTGGATCCCTCATAAATGGGAAATTATAGGCCAGATTCTAACCTCCCAAGGTTGGGTAAGCTAATTGAGAGAGTGTGAAGAAGCAGATTATCTGGACCTATTTCAACCTGGATTCAGAAGAGGCTCTGGGGTTGAGTCTGCCTTGGTCAGCCTGATCTTCAGGGATGGACAGAGGGAGTGTGACTCTGCTGGGTCATGCTCTCAGCAGCTTTTAGTAGCCTCAATCATGGTATCCTTCTGGATCATCTGAGAGATTTTGGAAAGGGGTAATGGCTTTGCTTCTATTTCTATTTCTGTCTCTCAGGCAGATCTCAGATGATGTCACTTGGAGACAGCTGCTCCTTGAAATGGGAGCCATTATATGGTGTCCCTCAGGGCTCCATTCTGTCTCTAATGCCTTCAGTATGAACGCACATCTGCTAGGGTAGCTTTGGACCTGGGTGCTATCTGTATGCTTTGTGTCTAGTCCAGAAACTTTGGTTGGTACAAGACTCGGCAGGCAGGCTGCTGTTAGAAAAATGCAAAGAGTCCATAGTACACCTGGGCTAGTTGGTTTCTTGGAAATCACAAAGGACTGGAGATTACCTTTGAAGCCCTACATGGCTCAGTTGCAGGCGGTCTGAGAGAGAGCCCCTTCTGCTTTGAACCTCCCTGCTGCTGGAGATCATCTGAAGAGGTTCGCCTACAGTTGCTGGGAGCTCATCTGGTGGTGACTCAGGATCAAGTCTCCTCTGTTGCTATTCCATTTCCTTAGAATGCCCTCCCTAATAAAGATGGTTGAGGGACTACCCTCTTTACAGGTAGTCCCCGGGTTAGGAACGCCTGGTTTAAGGTCGACCCATAGTTAAGAACGGAGCCTATTGTAGCAAAATTTGAGTTAAATACACAATGATTCGAGTTAAATACAATAGCTCAGGTTCCTTACACAATACTACTTATACAGTATTATACAATAATACTGTTCCAGCTTACATCCAAATTCAATTTAAGGACAGAGCTTGGGAACAGGACTTGTCCTTAAATTGGGGACTACCTGTATTTGCTTTTTAAAAAGTCCTCAGAATACTTATTTTCCAACAGACTTTTACTTTTACTTGTTTTTAATTGCTATTTTAGTTGTTCTTGGTTTTAAATTTGTTTTTATTGTTAAGCTGCCAAGAGACTCCAGTAGTTAGTGATATATCACATTAAACAAAAGAAAAGAAACAAACCTCAGTGTCATTTACCTGCCTCTAGCAGAGATATATCCAGTTTCTCATCGCCATCAGTTGTCTCTGCTAAATACAGATAACACAAAAAGACAATTATTTTACTTGAGTGTTTAAAAAACAGACTGTTTAGGATAGCGGTGGTAGTAAAACCAGACAAGAAACGAAACATGGATATTTATTTAAAAACAACAGGCAGAACTATTGTGCAGTTTCTTTTTTCAAAGATCACCCTGGTACCACCTTTCCCAAACTGGCCAGGGAATTATGGAAGTTGTAGTGCAACCTATCTGGGGTTAAGTTTTTCTATGTCTTTGTGTACGCCTTTTGCAGCTCACTTACTTTATTTAATGGCATTGATACAAGCGAGCGGCTGAGGACGGCATTTTGCTGTATTGGTAGTGGTCGTCGTAGTTGTTCAAAAGTACTCAGTGCTCAGAAACTCATTACCGGTGTTTTAAAAAATTGTAGGAAGCTGGAAAGAAGAGCCCAAGGGCATTCTCTAAAGGCGTTCCTCAAAAGTTTGCAGTTTTTAAAAGGATGGAATTTTTTTTTGGTGGCAGGATCTCATGCGAAACTGTGTCCAGGAAAAGCTAGTATTTAATGAAAAATGAATAGGTATATCAATGTTTCTCATACTTGGCAACTTTAAGACATGTGGACTTCAGCTCCCAGAATTCTCCCACCCATGCTGGCTGGGGAATTCTGGAAGCTGAAGTCC